CCTCGAACACCGGCGCGTTGTCGTTCACGTCCGACACCTCCAGCACCAGCTCCGTGCTGCTCCACAGCGCCGGCCTGCCCCGGTCCCGGGCCACCACCGTCACGCGGTGCTCGGACGCCTGCTCTCGGTCCAGCGCGCCCGCCGTCACCACCTTGTACGAGCCGCCCGACGACGCCACGATCGACAGCGGCGCCTCTCCCGACAGCTCGCACGACACCTGACCGTTCTCGCCGGAGTCTCTGTCCCGCACTTTCAGGAGGGCCACCACGGTGCCTGTCGGAGCATCCTCGGGCACCGGGCTTGAGAGCGACAGAATCGTGATTTCAGGCATGTTGTCGTTCTCATCCGTGATGTAGATCTGCACTTCGCAGTGACTGCTGAGCCCGCCGCCGTCTCTCCCCTCTACGCCGAACATATATTTATTCTTCTCCTCGAAATCGAGGAGACCCGCTGTTCTAATTTCCCCAGTCTCACTGTCGATAGCGAACAATGCCCTGACGGCTTCCGGGACGCTGCCAAAGGAGTAGGACACTCGCCCGTTGGAGCCTGCGTCAGCATCCGTCGCCCGTACCCGCAGCACTACTGTCTCCACTGCTAAATTCTCTGCAATTCGCGCCTCGTAGAGGCGTTTACTGAACACGGGAGGGTTGTCATTTGCATCTGTCACGTTGATGCGAACCTGGATAGTCCCGGACCTCGCGGGATCCCCACCATCCACTGCCGTTAGCACTAGCTCAAAGGCGCTTTGCACCTCACGGTCCAACCCTCTCTCCAGTATTAATTCTGGCTGCTTGTTTTCACCTGGCTTATCCTGCATAGACAGTGAGAACGATGGGTTGCTGATGAGCTGGTAAGCCAGCAGTGAGTTGCTTCCTGCGTCCTCATCTCGGGCCATCTCCAGGGGAAAACGAGCACCAGGAGAGATCCATTCACCGATCTCGAGGTCCAAAACGGCCTTGGTGAAGGCGGGTGAATTGTCGTTCACGTCCTCGATCGTCACGTCGACGTGGAAAATGTTCAGGGGGTTGTTCACCAGCACCTCGAAGCTGACGGAGCAGGTCGCTGACTCGCCGCAAATCTCCTCCCGGTCCAGCCTCTCGTTCACGTACAGGTTCCCGTTCTCCTCACTCACCGTGAAGTATTGCTTCTCCTCGCTCAGCCGCAGCTTGCGCGCCGGCAGCTCGTCCGCGCTGAGCCCCAGGTCCCGCGCCAGCGGCCCCACGAGCGAGCCTCTGCCCAGCTCCTCGGGGATGGCGTAGCGGAGCCGCTCGGCCGCCGCCCGGCCCCACACGCACAGCAGCACCGCGGCCAGCAGCGCTCGCCCGCCGCCCGGCCCGCGCCTCTGCCGCCGCCTCACCGCCATTCTCTGCCGCCGGC